GATAAGATGTAAGGGAGCATTTGTTCTATAGTTAACTGGAAAAAATAAGGCTGTTTAAAAGCATTTATGTTTGGTCTTTTTAAAAACATTACTAGATCATTAAAATATATTGCTAGTTAAGCACCCCATGATAACTGAGTTTAGCTACTGAAGAATTCCTCCCTTCAAATTTGTATCAAATAGTCAAAAGATTTACTATTTTTAAAATGTATATTTTAATGAGTTACCTACTAAGTGTTTGCACTGTGGTGACCACCACGGAACTTATGCTACCAAGTTAAGTAAGATGCCATTAAGAGATTTGAAAACTACTTCATTAACCAAAGTTTTGTGAATCAGTTATTTTTCTTTCTTATATAAAAAAGTTAGTGTTACATAATTAGGCTTAGTGTTAACATTATTAGGCTTATTTTTTAGCCACAGGGTTCAGAATTAGTTCATCCATTTTTTTTAACCTGTGAATTTTGATACAGTGTGTTATTTGTTGAACAAACATTTGTTGCCCACCAGTATCATACCCTGTACTGATCTCTCATTCATAGGGCTTAGGGAACCAAATGAAAGGCAGCCGAGTATCAAAAGCATGAAGTTATATGCTATGAAACAAAAAGACAAGAGAGATATCCGGAGTAGATAATGGTCAGATGAAATTCATAGGATGAGTAAGAGTAAGGTAGATTAAGGAGGAGAAGAAAGCAGAGGAAAAACCTATTTAAAAGCTCAAAGGAGAGCCAGGTGTGGTGGCGCACACCTATAATCCCAGCACTCAGGAGGCTGAGGCAAGAGGATCACTGTGAGTTCGAGGCCAGCCTGGGCTACAAAGTGAATTCAAGACCAGCCTGAACTGCATAGTGAGACTCTGCCTCAAAAAGATCCAAAAAAAAAAACCCCAAACCAAGACAAAACAAAAAACCGCAGGGGCTGGGGATTTAGCTCAGTGGAACAGCACCTACCTAGCAAGCGCAAGGTCGTGAGTTCAATTTCTGGTGCCGGGAAAAAAAAAACACAAAACAACAACAACAAAAAAAAACGCGAAGGAAGAGTCGTAGAGCCAAAACAGATGTGTTGTAGAAAAAGTGTAATCAGGAAAGGAAATAGCGAGTACTAAGCGAAGAAGCCGAAGTGGGAAACTAAGTCCCAATTATACAGTCCATGATGTATTTTTTAAATTTTATATACAATGGATAACTCATAAAAAATGTTCAGCATTTAAATAAAATTTTATAAAATATGAAATTTAGACACATTTTCTAGCTGACATGTACATATTTGTTGGTAAGAGAGCAGGGTATAGGGCCATAGGACATTACTGTTATAATACAGATAAGAAGTGATGAAATGACTTTGAGGGCTAGGATGTAGTTCAGTGGTACAATGTATACTTTGCATGCATTAGGTCCTGGGGTTGATCCCCAGCACTGCCAAAAAAAGCAAAATGCAAATGCAAAAACAAAACAAAACAGAAGGGGTAGAAGGATCAAGATGTGGTATGTATATGTGCCGGTTCCCCACGATGAATTTATTTATTGTGTATCACAAATACACACTAATAAAAAAGGGGGAAAGACTTCAGCTGGGTGATTGGCTTGCTTGCTTCCTTGCTTCCATCCTATCAGTCACACCTATACAGCTAGCACAGTACCTGAGTACAGTCATTAATAATAAGACCATAGAAACTGTGGATACTCAGTTCACCTTTAATTGCATCCTTCTCTTCTTGAGTTTATGATTCCTATATTATTTGCTGTATATAAATAAGGTACTCCAGTGGTTTCCCAGAATGCAAGGTTATAACCACCAACCAAGAGCATCTCTAAACCAAAAACTTTATGTTAGAAGAACAAGTTCATGAAAAGCATGTCTTGAAGATCAATAGGTGATGTTATATAACTACATGGCAATGTTAGAGATCTTTGCACTGTCTGTAAAGTACTCTGAGGTGCCATCTAGTGGTGTAGTACTACAGAAGGTACTGCTGTACTACTCAATACTTTGAGGACAGAATTTTCTTTAAAAATTAATTTTTATACTACAAGTTTAATGTAATAACAAAACCTAAGATGTAAAATAAATTTAATATAAAATCTCCACAGATTATTCTTATATATAACACTAAAGCACCAGCAACAAAAGAAAAATAACTAAGACTAGTTCACAATTTAGAACTTGTATCTATAGACACTATAAATCGAAAAGATAGCCCACAAAATGGGAGAAAATATTTGCAAATTGTATCTCTTGTAAGACTCTACTCTCCAGAATACATGAGGGACTCAAAACTTAACAGCAAAAAGACAGTCCAATTAAAGCATGAGTCATGGCTTGACATTTCTCCAAAGAAAATATATAAAATGCCAGTGAACACATGACAAGATGCCCAGCATTATTAGTCACTAGAGAAATGCAAATCAAAGCCACCATGAGATACCTTATCCCACTTGTTAGAATGGCTGTCATAATTTAAAAAACAAAACCTCAGAAACAAATTAAATGTTGGCAAGGATTTGGAGAAATTGGAATCCTCTTGCATTGCTGGTGTGGAGGTGCAGACACTGTGGGAGAGTCCAGCAGTTCTTCAGATAGTTCAACACAAAATTACTGTATGAGCTGGGCGTGGTGCTGCATGCCTAGCATCCCAGCATTCTGCAACTAAAGCAGAAAGATTGCAAATTTGACCCCAGCCAGGGCAATTTAGCAAGACCCTGTCTCAAAGTAAAAAGTTTAAAAATGACAGAGTATGTAGCTCAGTGTGAAGGCTCTATGTTCAATCCCCAGTAGAGCTCTCCCCAAATGTGTATGATCTAAAAATTTCATTCCTACTTATATTCCCGAGAGAAAACAGATGTCAAAGTTAAAAAAGAAGCAAGTCTCTAAAACAAAACAGGTTGTGTTTGAGAGTAATATAAAAGTATTAAGATTGCAATCCAGGACATATGTACAGGCAAAGATGGCCTCCAGTATGTCTGGAAAACAAAGGAAAGGTTGGTGACTATTAAGACGGAGAAATCTCTGTAAGTCATTATGAAAGTAGGTTTATTGGTGCTTTCAGTGCTTGAGGGAGCTGGCAAGCTCTGACCGGTGAGCAGCAGCAGTCACTAAGTAAAACTAGTCTTAAGGTCATAGGCGGCAAGTTCTGTTAGTTGCTAAGAAGAAAAAATAAGGCATTAAAATATAAGAAATTCTGTTCCACCACAGTGACATAAGAGCGAAGTTCCTGGAATAATCATTTGAGACTATTTTTCTCCCCTTGGCCTCTTGGCCCTATTTTAGATGTCTTATGTCAAGATCTTTATTTATTTGTATGCTCAATTTTCCACAGAGGAATTCAAACAAAACCTTGTGCCTGAATGTTATTCATAATAGCTAGAAAATGGAAAAGGAACAAGTTTCTACCAGCTAATGAATGGATAGAAATATAGTATATCCATACAATGGAATATTACTCAGCTGCAAAAAAGAATGAACTGCTATTACATTGGTGAACCTTGAAAACATTATGCTAATTTAACAGAAGCCATGCACAAAAGACCGCATATTACATGATTCTATTTCTATGAAATATCCAAAACAGGTGAATCTATAGAGATAAAAAGCAGATTAGTGGTTGCCAGGGTCTGGAGGAGGAGTGGCAAGTGATTGCCTAATGGGTGTAGGACATTTGGGGTAAGGGATATATAAATGTTCTGGAATTAAATAGTTGTAATTGTTGCACAACCTTGTGAATGTACTAAAAGCCACTAAATTGTACACTTTAAAATGATTAAAATAGCAGTTTGGGGGCTGGGGATTTAGCTCAGCGGCAAAGCGCCTGCCTGGCAAGTGCAAGGTCGTGAGTTCAGTTCCCGGGACCGGAAAAAAAAAAAAAAAAAAAAAAAAAAAAAAAAATAGCAGTTAGGAGCAGTGGCACATACCTGTAATACTAGCTAACCAGGAGGCTGAGACAAGAGGAATCACAAGTTCAAGACCAACCAGGGGGATGAGGGGAGACCAACCTGAGCAACTTAGTGAGACACTGCTTTAAAATATTTAAGATACCATCTCAAAAAGGGATGGGAATGTAGGTCGGGTAGAGCATTTACTTAGAATGTGTAAGACCATGAGTTCAGTCCTCAGTACTGAAAAAAATTTGTAATTATCTTCATATTCAATGCATTTTACCTTAGTTTTTAAGAAAACTTCCACTGACTGAAAGACTCCAGAACCTTGTTTATTATTATTATAGGTAATATTTTCATAGTTGTTACTAGTATTTAGGTATTCTATTTGCTCTTTAGTATTATTTGATACATATTTTTCATCTATGCAGTTTCCACAGTTTTTAATTTGGTGACTGCTTATCTTTTAGTGTCTATACTCATAGTTTAACCATTCCTCAAATATTCAATGGTTCTCTGTGTTTTTTTCAATTTCATAAAGTTCTGCTATAAATGCTTAAACAAATAATATTGTTTAAAATCCTCAGTTGCATTGGCTTTTCTTCCCCAAAACAGAACCTGAGTCCATTTTAATTTTTTTTAGGTATTTCTGTTTTTTCCCTGACTTTTCTTTCATAAATATATACAAAATTATAATTCTACCGGTAATGTATAAGGAAAAATGGAGGCAAATAATGTTTATTCAATGTCTACCCTGTTGCAGGCTCTTGCCTAGATTCTTTATATTATTTCATTTAGCTCCTGTATCTCCTGTGTCCTGCAACATCTACAGAAGCTATGAAGTGAAGGAGCAACAATCAGAACCCAGGAGTTTTTATCTCCAAGTTACATGCTGTTTTTCCTTTATACTTAGCAATATTGTGTTTTAAATTTTTTTTTAAAGTGCTATTTATTAGAGATTCTTCATTTCTCAAGTGATTATCTATATTTCATCATACATACTAATCTGTATTTTTGTTCATTTATTCGTGGGTTTTAAACTAAACATTCTTGTTTTCCTTGTAGACTGACATTATGTGTCAAAGCCTTAATCATTTTTTTGCATTTATTACTCCTCTCTTCCAGACTCTTGATGGAAATGTATATGATCACCTCAAGGATTATTTACTAGCCTTCAGCCAGACTGAGCTTGAAACATGCCAAGCTGTGCAGAACACATTCCAGTTTTTATTAGAAAACTCCAGCAAGGTAAAAGTACTGTTAGCATAAAGGGTGGTGTTAATCCCCAGTACTATAGTATTTTACATGTTAGAATCTAAAATGTTTTGCATACAATCAAGATGAAGGTACCAGTGATATTAGAATAATGCCTTAAAGGACACATTTCTGGGAACAGCGTCATTTTAACAGAGTTGGAGAATGTTCTCATGGATGAATCAGTGACATTGTTACCACAACCCAAAACAGAAAGGGAGGTGATGTACCAAGCCCACTCAGAACATCAGTCCCATGTCATGTGCACTGCATTCGAGAAGAATGGTTATGTCTTCCACTGAAATGAATTTTTAATATATTCAACTCAGTCATTCGGAGGAACAACAAGGGTCATGTCTCAGTTCAAAGAAATAATAAAAGGACACAATGGGAAAAGTAGCATTTGATAATTTTGATTAAAATAAATACAATATCTTATGTTTACAAATTAAACTATTTTTTATTTGTCATCGTTCTTTGATAGTAGTATTTCACTTACAAACATGGATGTGTCAGCTTTAATGATGTGTCACATTGAGTGCTGAGAAAATAAATGTGATTAGTTTTCTTTAGGATCTGATTATAACTTTTGAGGTTAAAAAAATTATAGTTTTTGCAGAAGTTTCACTTTAGAAACTGTTCTTCAGAAGATAAATTATACCTGTGATTAGTACATGTTCTTTTCTTTCTAATAAATTCATAGTATTTCCTGACCAGATACATGCATTTATAAAAATATATGCATTTTCTAACTGATATTTTGTGGGGGTTTTTTTTTGTTGTTGTTGTTGTTGTTTGTTTTTTGGTTCTTTTTTGCCTTTTTGAGGCAGGATCTCACTATGCAGTTCAGGCTGGCCTTGAACTCACTTTGTAGCCCAGGCTGGCCTCCAACTTGGAATGATCCTCCCGCCTCAGCCTCCCAAGTGCTGGGATTACAGGCATGCGCCATCACACCCAGCCTGATATTTTGAAAGATCTAGTTCAATTCCCTTTTGACTAGGAAGGGAGACTAGGAACTAGCTGATACATTAAAAACTGGAAAGGGACCAGAATATCCATCTTCAAGATAGTGGCTGAAGACAGAAGAGAAAAGGGACGTAGAATCTATCTTATATATATATATATATTCTTGTTTTCAGTGTACCAGAGTGCCTGATTCTGTTTTTAGAAGAACACTAAAAATGCTAAGTTGGTTTGGAAATACAAACATTACTTACTAGCCTGATGCTTTAAAGTCTTATCATATATATATATGATCCCATATTTTTACTCCTCAGAATCTAATAAAAAATACAAAAGAATTGATGTGTAGAAAGAAACATGCATGGATAAGTGGGTAGTAAGTTTTGAGAAAGAAAATGAATATGTTAATTGCAGAATTATAGTAATGGGTATGTAGTGTTTACAGTTCTTTTTGCACTAGAGTATTTTATTTGAAATTTTTCATAAAACAGTCTTGAAAACAAGTCTATAGAAGTATCTTGGCTTTGTTCTCTTTATGGAATAGTTTATTTTTGAGCACTGATGAATTTTTTGTTTGTCTATTGGTCCATTCAGGTTTTCTGTTTCTTTTTCAGTATATTTTGGTAACACATTTTTCTAGGAAGTTGTCTATTTTAGTTATCAAATTAGATGGCATAAGATTTTTCATAAGTAACCTCTATAGTTACTTCCATTTTATTCCTAATGTTGTTTGTGCTTTTTCTCTTATTTTAATTACCATACCAGTCTATTTTGTTTATCTTTGCCAGAGCTGGCTATCATGCTTCTCAATCTTGTTTGGGCCTTTCATTTTTACCTTATCTATATTATTTCTTACTTCATTCTTAGAATTTATGTTCTTGTTGTTTCTCAAGCTTATTTTTCTGTTTAAGTCTTATATTTTCAGTCTTTCTGTTTTTAAGCAAAGCAGTTTAAAACTAAAAAGTTTCTTTCTGCTTTAACTACCATCTATGATACATAGGATTTCTATTATTCACACACACACACACACACACACACACACACACACACACACTGTCCCATTAACCCCTGAATTATTTAGAAGTGAGTTTTGCAGTTTGTATTTAGGGGGAGTATGTGGTAAGATTACATTTTTCATTTCTAATTTTATGAGAAACTGTATTTTACTTTTATTCTATTACATTTATTCTAATTTTATAAGAGAGGCTATCCCCTGGCAAAATTCTTTGAAATTCCTGTTTCTAAGAAAGAGATTGGACATACTACCCAGAGTTTATAAGAAATAGTCATAAAATATAAATAATATTGTAAGTACACTTAATTTCCTGGGATTTGTTTTAGTATATCTTAAACTTGAATTTAATGAGGTTCATAGGGTTATGTGGTTCATAGGGTAATGTGTAGTCAGAAGGTTTGTATGACTTGTTCAGGGTCACACTCTGACACATAGTACTTTCCATGCTCTTCTACTGTAGTATGTTATCTTTTTAGCTTATATTATTTTAATTGAAAATGAATTAAAAATTTATGAACTACTTTGAATGCCTAAAGAGATAATCTTTCATTTTGTGCATTCACTCATGTGCGTATCTTGCTCCCCAGAGATGTCAAATAAGTGAGATGGTCTTACGTCTAGATTGGAAGTGGTAGGAATAAAAATTTAATAAGAATGATGTATCTGGGAGATATGCCTGTACTCTTTTGTTCTAAGTGAGAAGAGCTCACACCTGCAAGTTTTATGTCATGTGCTTTTCTGTTGCAGAGAGCTTGTTATGCTGCTCCTGTTATACTGCTGAAAGCAACTGAATGATTTGATAACCCAGTGGGAAGGGGTTTTTTATTCTGCACTGTTAATGCTTTATCTTCTAGGGTAAAAAATCTATTTTTCCCACATGTCTAAAATGTAACCTATTCCCAAAGGTGTTTTGGAGGTAATTCATACTGACACAGCACACTGTAAATGTAAAGGTGCCCTGTATATCTTTCATACCCTAAATGGAAACAGCTGGCTCTAAGAGCTTTTATTAAATTTTAATTATTTATGAAGCTTGCTTTTCATCTTAATATTTTATGAAATGCTTTGTATATGTAACTGAAGCAGATGTCGTAGATATTTTCTCTAGCATAGTACCTCCTGAGGTACTTCTACTGGCCTTATAGTTTGTTTATGTGTGCTTGTTTTCTATCTGCATAAACTTCTACCAAATAATAACATAGTTATTTAAACAATTCATAAAATAACAATGTTATTCTGTATTTCTTTCGAAAGTAAATTGTCTGGTGTTACCATTCTTCATACTTTAATGACTAACCAAAACAAGTAAATTTAATAAAGTGAAGTGAGAAAATCATGGTCATTTCAGTAGACAGAAAAAAAGACACGACAAAAGTCAGCACTACTTGTGATTTAAACACACCCACAGAACAAACTAGAAATAGAAAGGAATTTACAGAATATGATAACACTTGTGAAAAACTTTTAACTCATACAATGTTCAGTCATGAAAGACTGAAGATCCCCCCATAAGGTCAAGAACAAGACTAAGATACGTACTTTCACTGCTACCATTTACCTTTGTCCTGAAAGTCCTAGCCAGAGCAGTTAGGTAAGAAAAAGAATTAAAATTATCCCTGTTTCCAGTGACATGATTATATATAAAAAATCCCATGTAACAATCCACCTAAAATTTACTAGAGCTAATAAAGTAATTCAGCAAGTTTGCAGGTACAAAACCAAAACCACAATAACCAGTTGGTTTTTTATACTGTATGAATGAATGATTCAAAAATAAAATGAGAATAAAGTACCTAGGAATAAATTTTTTGATGTTTTTTGAGACTGGATCCTACTATGTACCTCAGGATGGCCTCAAACTTGTGATGACCCTCTTGCCTCAGCTTTCTGAGTGCTCAGATTACAAGTGTGCACCACCATGCCTGGTGAATAAATTTAACCAAAGACATAAAAAGACTTATACTCAGAAAATGTACAAAATATTACAGAAAGAGAACCTTAAATGAAAATAATAAATGTTCATGGGTTGGACTATTTCTAATTTTGTAGTAGCTCCCACGGTGATCTACAGATTCAGTGCAGTCCCAATAAAAATTCCAGTGGCCTATTTTTGTAGAAATGGAAAAGGCAGTCCTTAAATTTAAATGAAATTACAAGGAGCTCTGAATAGCCAAAGAAATACTGAAAAACAAAGTTGGAGAATTCAACTTCCAAATTTCAGAAGTTACTGCAAAGTTACAGTAATCAAGACAATATGGGATAGGCATAAAGATAGACATATACAGACTAATGAAAGAAAATTGAGAATCTCAAAATAAACTGAAACATTTATAGACAGTTGTTTTTCAGCAGAGATGCCATGACCATTAGGAAAAGAATAATATATTTAACAAAATGTTCTGGGACAAGTGAAGATCCAAATGCAAAAGAATGGAGTTGCATTAAATTGAACCCCCTACGTCATAAAAAATTAACTCAAAATGGATTAGTAATCTAAGTATAAAAGAATAACAGTCTTTATTATCTTGGATTTGGCAGTGTATTCTTAGATTTGACATCAAAAGCATGGCTACAAAAGAAAGATAATTAGACTTAACAAATACAGAATTTTTTTTGAGACAGGGTCTTGCAGGGTAATTCAGGCTGCGTTGAATTCACTATCTAGGCTGGCCTCAAGCTGATAGCAGTCCTTCTGCCTCACCCTTCCAAGTGCAGGATTATGGGTAAGCACTACCACACTTGACTCAAATTAAGAACTTTTATGTATGAAGGATGTTAATGAAGGAAAAAACAGTGCAGAATATAGGAGAAAATATTTGCCCATCTGATCTTTACATTTATCTCGTAAGGATTTAATAGCCAGAATATAATGAACTCTTACAACACCACAACAAAAAGACCAACAACCCAGTTTTAAAATGGGCAAAAGACCCATATTTCTCCGAGAAAATACATAAATGGTCGATAAGCACGTGAAAAAATGTTCAGCAGACATTGGTCTTTGATTAAGGAAATG